TTTCAAAGGTGGTACTTGGACATCATTGCGTTGTATGAACACCCATAGAAACTATAGAAGTTGTTAGTATGGTCACCATCATTGGACATCAATGAATTGGGTTTATATCTCCATTTGCTCAAATGAGCGGTTCTTTTCATAGAACTTCAACTAAAAGCATCATAAACTTGGCTGAATGTTATACTAGTTTGCATAAGACATTTACTTGGGCTACACATAAAGCTTCTATCCTCTAATCCTCGTCGAGAGTTATGACATGGTTTCCTTTGAAAGTTTGTGAAGGTTGTTAAACCTTTATGAACTTGCCCGAGGATAACCAAGAGGGCGTGAATTAGTTATTTAAAAATTTTCTTAATGGAAAAAGAAAATTTTTTGAAATCTTTTTGGATATTTTTAAACAAATGATTTAAGCGGAAGCAACACTGATTTCTCAATAACAAAAATCAGAGGTTTTAACCTCAGAACAAATTACAGAATAATATAACAATTAAATACATAAAAGTAAATAAAAGAGCACACCATATTTATAGTGGTTCAGTCAACTTGACCTAAGTCCACTCCCTAGAAACCTTCGCTCTAGGTATTGTACTAAAAGTAGTGTATGTCTTTTTGACCCCATAACAAGGTGGAGAAGCCCTTATAAAATCATTCCCTTGACCTGGTGAGGTAGAGTGCCTTTAATCCTTTTACGCCCTCCTAGAGTAGGTAGAGAATCTAGAAATCCTTTTACTCCCTCCTAGAGTAGGCAGAGAACCTTGGAATCTTTTTCACCCTCTTGGTGAAGGCATAAAACTTAAATTTGATGCTGATGAAGATCTCCCCAATAGCCACCAAGGAACCAGAATATCAACTTGAAGAAGATGGTGAAAATCTTACTTAGAGCAACCTTTTTGAATCCCTCATAACTTCCCCTCACAAGGGTCTCTCTCTTTCTCTCTCTCTCTCTCTCCCAATCTCTCTCCCTCTTCCTTCTCTAAGCTCTCTCTTAGAGCAACTCCATATCAAAAGATTGTCTCAAGGCATAATACAAGAGCTTAAATAGAGAGCCTTAAAAGAAGCCCTAATTTATAATTCTACTCTTCTAATCGTCTAGTATGATCCTTAGATCATCTTGTATGATTAGTATGAAATAGCCATTTCAGCTAGTACGATCAGCATTGCCCTGTATGATCAGCTCAAGTATTTATACATATTGTTCAGTATAATTCTATGATCATCCGAGATGATTAGTTGAAGATATTGTATTAACTATCCATCATATTATAAGATGATAGGTGACAATTTAAATATCGTCTTTCACATCCCTCGGGACATCTAGTATGATCACTTGTATATATAGATGAAAATTATGGTTTTCACATTGGATGATAGGGGATCATTCCATGATATTTAAAATATTGTCCAATACGATCATTGTAGATCATCCTATATGATATGATTGAGCAATCTACTCATAATTATTCCCCTAATCATAGGATTAATTTAGGCATGATTATCATAAATCATACAATATGATGCATATAGTCCTATATGATTTAAACATAATTCAAAGTTTAAAATGTTGAGTCTAGAAATTAGGTTGTTAAGCCTAAGTGAATGTCCTAAGGCTACCAAGAGGGGGGTAAATTGATAGTTTAAAAAACAAAGTTAAAATTTAAGACCCCTTTTTGAAAATTATTGAACCGAAATAAAATCTCTTTTAAATTTTGTAGAAAAAGGTTTTTCAACCACAGAGTTTTTAAAACTGAAATAGAAAGTGCGGAAATGTAAAAAAAAAATAGTAAAGTAGATGACACCAGATTTATAGTGGTTCGGTCTATAACCAGACCTACATCCACTCCCCAGAGGCACCCTCTGAGTATTGCACTAATACCAATAGTGACTCTCCTTTTGCACCCACAGCAAGGCGGAGAAACCTTTACAACACACTCTTTTCACCACTCCCCAGTGCGGTAGAGAACCGTCCATCCTTTTACACAATCCCCAGTGTTGGCAGAGAACCGTCCATCCTTTCACATAATCCCCAGTGTTGGCAGAGAACCGTCCGTCCTTTCACACTCTCCTAGTGTGGGCAGAAAACCCTTCCGTCCTTTCACACTCTCCTAGTGTGGGCAGAGAACCCTTCGGCTGTTCACACTCTCCAACTGTCGGCAGAGAACCGGACCTCTTTGACAGATCTTCTCACAAGAATCTAGAAGGAAGAAAGAAAAAGAGTGAAGAAATCCAATTTCACAAGTAGAGACTCTTACCTTAGCAATCCAAGTGAAGCCTTCTCGCTCCAATGGTAGGAATCCTCCTTTGAATGCTCTCTTCCACTCTCTCCTTGGCTATTCTCTCAAGAGGCACGAAGATCAAATGACAAAAAGATTGGGTGGCAGTCTAATTTGGACTATTTATACAAAAGATAAGAAAAACCGCCCAAAAACTGCAAGTATTCAATTCTGTACGCAGTGGATCGTCCTGTACGATCGTGGATCGTCCTGGACGATTTTACTTAAACGATCTGAAACGACCCAATTTGTATATGTGTACGAACTGACTTCGTACAGCTGATCGTCCTGTACGAACTTGGTTCGTCCAGTACGAACGGTTATTACAAGGTCGGTTCTAGAAACTGCTGAAAACTGTTCTAAGTCGGTTTATCGTTTGAACGAAAATGTGATCGTCTGGACGAAAATTTTCCAGAGAGCAGATCGTCCTGGACGATTATTTATTTCGTCTGGACGAAAATCTTCCAGAGCACTGGTCGCCTCGTACGATGGTAAAATTCGTCTGGACGAAAATTTTGCAGTGAACCCATCGCCTGGGACGATGATTTGTTTTCGTTCGGACGAAAAAATTTCCAGAGAGCTGATCGTCCTGTACGATATTTATTTTCGTCTGGACGAAAATTTTCCAGAGCACTGGTCGCCTCGTACGATGGTAAAATTCGTCTGGACGAAAAGTTTACAGTGAACCCATCGCCTGGGACGATAATAAATTTCGTCCTGGACGAATAGGACTTAGAAAAATTTTTCAAAGCAAGTTCCTATTCGTTCCAAGTGCTCTATAGGAGATAACTGACAGATCGTCCAGTACGATAAATATCGTCCTGTACGATCAGTATAGAATTTCAAGATCTCCTTATTTGTGTGTGTGAGATTTTATTCACTCAATTACAATCACTCCCTTTCAAAATTAATTCAAAGAAAAGACAAACATCAATTAAACAAAATATCTCATGTTGAATTTGAATTGAAGTTTTCGTAGTCTGGAGTCTGATTTTCCTGAAATGTTAGTACACACAAGAGCAAGTGCAAATCTTCTGAAATTGTTAGGAGATAACTATACATTTGAACAATAATGTTTGGAATCATCAAAACTACATAAGTTGCATAAATATAACTCATTCAAATAGCAACTATTCAAACAATAAGAAGGAACGTAGTCGACAGGCGACGGAGGTCGGAAGGATCGTTGTCTAGCGATAGAGGCTAAAAAGATCATAGTAGGTGGGAGATGGAGAATAGAAGGACCTCTGACCGACAGAAGTCCAACATCGGGCAGAAATCTGATGCAGGCAGAAGTCTTGTATCGGGTAGAAGTCTGACGAAAGTTTGGTGACTGGTAAAAGTCTAATGAGGGTAAACGTCTGGCGTCAGGTAGAAGTCTGGCAACGGACAGATGTCCAGTGCCAAATAGAAGTCCGACGACTGGTAAAAGTCCAGAGACGGGTGGAAGTCCGACTTCAGGTCGAAGTCCAACAATGGAAAAAACTCTGGCGACGGGCAGAAATTCGATGTCGGGTACAAGTACAAAAATGGACAAAAATCTGACGATGGGTGAAAGTTTTGTGTCGGGTAGAAGTCCGACAAAAGTGCTGCGTTGGGCAGATATCTGGAGACGGGCAAAAGTTTTTCATCAAGTAGAATTCTAATGAAAGTTCAGCGACGGGTAGAAGTTCAGAGATGATTTGATGTCCGGTGATGGGCGGATGTCCAGCGTTAGGTCAAAATCCAACGACAAGTTGAAGTCCGTCGTTTGGTGGAATTCCGGTGATGGATAAAAGTCTAGTGACTGGTGAAAGTTCGTCGTCGAGTAGAAATATGGCGACGGATGGAAGTTTGACTTTAGGTAAAAATCTAGCGACCGACCAAAGACTGGAGTTAGTTGGTGGCTGGGAGAAAATCCGGCGTCAGTTGGTGGTCAGGAAAAAAATTGACTTTCATCAGTAGATGGGTGAAAGTTTAGTGTCAGTAGATGGCCAGGTTGAAGTCTAGTGGTGATCGAGGAGGAGTCTGGTGGAAATAAGACTCTTCCTTCTCTTCCCTCTCTTCTTGCTTGGGTCCCTTCTTTCCTCCCCCTTGCTTGGGTCCCCTTCTCATGAGAAATAAAGTGTTGATTTATAGTTTTCTGGGAGTGGCATGACCAGTAAATAGGAGGAAAATCAATTGTAAATTGGGAGTTATTTGAATAGACAGCCGATGTTGAATCCCTCTTTCATGGACCGTTTACCAGACATTTGACTGTCTTAATTTGAATTAAGACGATCGTCCTGGCCGATACATGTATCGTCTAGGCCGATCTCAATGACGGCTGCTTTAATGAGGATGCCCTAATAAGGGTTTCTGATTTTTGACATATCATCCCGGCCGATTTTACCAAAAATAGAAATCTTATAGGGAACAACAGGAAATCTTCCAAGTTTCAAATCATCAGATCCCACACCAAATACAACAGACTCAAGAAAGGAAAAAAATTACAAACTGACACAGACCTAGTCTACCCAATCTTGAGCTGGTTCCAAATTGCAGTTTGATCGTGTGGACCTGAAACGTTAGCACATAAGGCAATCGTAGAGAAATAAGGAATGTTTGCTATCATCAAAATCATAAACCATAGATCCGCAACATTAATAGTAAGCAAATAAACAATAACAGTGCTTGATGCATGTCACGACCTGGCCCGGCTAGCCCGAAAATAACGGGGCGGGAACAGTCAGCCGTACGGATAACACATAATACATAAACAAATTCATTTAAAACTTTAATGTCAGTACATAAACATCATCCAATTATATGAAAGAGCCACTAATAACATCAAACTGAAGTGTATCAAACTGTTTCTTCCAACACAACAACTAAAACATAAAATCACAAATTACATAAACTCCAATAATTGTTCATACACAAGTACATACTACTGAACTCAAACTCAAACTCAACAGAAAACATCAAAAGAACCTTTCTTCATGAGGTCCTCTACGACGGTATGTGTACGGTCGTCTCGTAGCCATCACTTATCTCTTCAAAAACATTTTCAAACGTAGAATGAGCCAACGCTCAGCAGGTGAAAAACATTTATCTCAAATTTATGAAATATTTTTTTCTTAACTTATTATTAAGCATGAAATGGAAAAAGGATCAGTATAAACATTGATGTCTGCATTTATAAAATAGTTTCAATAATCGTTCTTAAGATATTTTTCTTATTTCATAACATTCTTTCTTTTTTTTCTTTTTCCATAAAATTTCCTTTTCCTTAAATCATTTCATTAAATGCATAACTTTCAAAGTCATAATATGATAATCACCCATCCCAGAAGTGCCTGATTTTATACTGATCAGGTACACAGTCAAATTTTGACTATTTCCTTTACCATTGGCTCTACGAGCCTCCTTTACCATTAGCTCTACGAGCCTCCTTTACCATTTTTGACACTTCTAGATCAACATGCACATGCACTTTAATATAATACTTTCATCAAAGGGTTTGAAAATTAATCAATGCCTCACATGATTTTCACTAATTTATCGAGTAAAAGAAAACTTGCATCTCTTATGTCTTAAATCATTTACTTAATGTGAATATTTTAAATAAAATATCATGAATATAAGCAAATATTGAAAAACTAAGGTCATAATAACAAATTCAAGAGCATAAGTTTGTAACATTTTAAAAGTGCAAAACTATTTAATTAAAATTTCATAAGTTCAATTTAAATGCAATTCATCTATATTGCAAGCAGCGAATAAACACCACAACGTTGTACGACGCTGTCTAACCACTTGCATTTACCTTAATCCACACCTAAAAGACAGTTACAATTAAACTAAGCCTACTTCGTAATTATTTTCAATAATTAACATAATTAATTTATATTTTCGGAATTATTTAAAATCTAAAATTTTGAAATCCCTAAATTATGAATTTGCATCATGACATTAAACTAAACTTTTTCCTAAACCATAATTAATAATTAGGTTAATTATTTTCAGATTAAATATTTTAAGAAATTATGAAAAAAAAAATATTTTCATTAAAAACTCATTTTTTATGTTTTAAAAACATTTTAAATACTCTTAGGAATAACTTTTCTTAACACTGACGTTGCCAGGTCCCAAGTCCTGGATGAGAAAAGTGGAGGGTTGCGTTAGGTGCTCGACAGCCAGCATAAAACTTGTCGAACAATAATGACATGAATCCTTTAAGAAATTGTGTTAATGCTAGGGCGTCCCCTGGAAGCGACGCGCTGTCAGTGACAAGTGTGCAAGGGCAGCTGCACCGGCGCCCGGGTGTAGTGTTAAATAGGCAAGGGTTCCCACATCAAGGACGGATGTGGGCAAAGAAGCTAATCCATGAAACTAAAATTAGGATAAGAACTTGGAATATAGGTTCCCTTACAGGAAAATTAATGGAATTAATAGATATTATGATTCATAAGAAGTTAAATATTTTGTGCATTCAGGAAACTAAATGGGTTGGAGAGAAGGCTAAGGAAATTGATAGTTTAGGATTTAAACTTTGGTATTCGGGTATGAGTCGTACTAGAAATGGTGTAGGTGTTATTATAGATAAGAGTTTAAAGGATAATGTTATAAAAATTAATAGGATTGGAAATAGAATTATAGCTTTAAAGATTGTTGTCGATGATAAGATTGTTGATATTATAAGTGTTTATGCTCCTCAAGTAGGCTTGGATATGAGTTCTAAATTAAATTTTTGGAATGACTTAGAAGAATTAATACAAAAAATACCTCTTGAAGAAAGAGTTTTTATTGGAGGAGATTTAAATGGACATGTTGGTAGAGAGGTAGATGATTTTAAAAGCATTCATGGTGGCCATGGATTTAGAACGAAGAATGAAGGTGGCAAGACCATATTGGATTTTTGTTTAGCTTATGATTTTTCAATTGCTAATAGTTTATTTAAGAAAAGGAATGAGCATCTCATCACTTATAAAAATGGATATAGTACAACCCAAATTGACTATTATCTTATTAGAAAATTAAATCGTTTAGATTGTAAAGATTGTAAAGTTATTAAGAGTGAAAATTTAGGTATCCAACATCGATTATTAGTTTTGGACTTTAAGATAAATGGATATATAATAAAAAATAAAGTAAAACGATTTTCTAGGATTAAATGGGGGCATTTAAAGAATATTAACAAATATATTTTTGAGAATAAGATTTTAGATCTTAAGATTTTGTCTGTGCATGAGGATGCTAATGCTATATGGGAAAAAGTGGCTAGTGATATTAAGAATATTGCAAAAGATGTCCTTGGAGTATCAAAAGGAAAAGCTCTTAATAGTAAAAAATAGTTTGTGGTGGAATCCAAATGTGTAAGAAAAGATTAAAAATAAGAAATTTTGTTATAAAAATTGGTTTAATTTTAAAAATTCTGATAATTGAGAAATATATAAAATGGCTCGTAAGGATGCTAAGAAAGCAATATGCGATGCAAAAATATTAGCTTTTAGTGATTTATATAATACATTAGATACTAAAGATGGAGAAAGATATATGTATAAGTTAGCCAAACAAATAGATAGTAGTAAGGATTTAGTTCAAGTGAAGTATATTAAGCATGAAGATCAAAAAATACTTTTCTTAGAAGATGATATTCAACAAAGGTGGATGAGATATTTTACTAAACTTTTTAATGAAGATTGTGAAAATAAGATTGACTATAGCGATCTTAGTACCCTAAATTAAAATAAAGATTTCTTTTTTTATCGCCGTATTAGTAAAATTGAAGTTAGAGATGCTTTAAAAAAAATGAAGAGTGAAAAAGCTGTTGGACCTGATGATATTTCAATAGAGGTGTGGAAATGCTTAGGAGATGAAGGAATTTCATGGCTTACTAAACTTTTTAATACTATTTTGAAGACTAAAAAGATGCCAGATGAGTGGAGAATGAGTGTGTTAATTCCTATTTTTAAGAATAAAGGTGATGCACAAGATTGTGAGAATTATAGAGGTATTAAGTTAATGTGTCATACTTTAAAACTATCGGAACGAGTTATGGAGCATAGGCTGCGGCATGATATTGATGTTTCTCAAAATCAATTTGGATTCATGCCGAGTAGGTCGACTATGGAAGCCATACATTTATTAAGAGGTTTGATGGAGAAATATAGAGAAAATAAGAAGGATCTGCATATGATATTTATTTATTTAGAAAAAGCATATGATAAAGTTCCAAGAGAAGTGCTATGGAGAGTTCTTGAAAAGAAAGGTGTCGATAATGTTTATATTCAAATCATTAAAGATATATATGCAAAAGCTATGACTTGTGTTCAAACACAAGGTGGATTGACCAAGTATTTCCCTATTTCGGTTGGGTTACATCAAGGATCAGCCTTAAGCCCATATCTTTTTGCTTTAGTCATGGATGTTCTCACTATACATTTGCAAGAGGATGTACCTTGGTGTATGCTTTTTGCTGATGATATTCTTCTTGTTGATAAGACTAGAGAGGGAGTTTAAGGTAAACTTGAATTATGGAGGTCAACCTTAGAGTCTAAAGGTTTTCGCTTGAGTAGATCTAAAACGGAATATATGGAGTGTAATTTTAATGGTAATAGACCTAGTGAGGGAATTGTGACTTTGGGCGATCAAGTCATTAATAAGAGTATACGTTTTAGATATCTTGAATCTATTGTTCAGAGTGATGGTGAAATAGATGGGGATATTATCAGCAGAATTCAAGTTGGATGGTTGAAGTGGAGGAATGCATCGGACTTGTTATGTGATAGAAATGTACCCCTCAAACTTAAGGGAAAATTCTATAAGATGGTAGTGAGGCCTGCAATGCTTTATGGTGCCGAATGTTGGTCATTAAAAGAGAAGCATAATACTAAGTTAAGTGTGGCAGAGATGAGGATGCTAGGTGGATGAGTGGCTTTACCCTTAGAGATAGGATACGAAATGAGCATATACGTGAAAGGGTTGGAGTAGCTCCAGTAGAAGATAAGATTAGAGAGAGTCGTCTTAGATGGTTTGGTCACATAAAACGGCGGCCTTCCTATGACCCGGTTAGGAGAGTAAAGGTATTAGATTTGACTTATGTTAAGAAAGGTAGGGGTAGACCTAAAAAGACTTGGTTAGAAAATATTAGGAATGACCTTTCTTTATTAGATCTAAACGAGAATTTGACTTTTAATATGACAAAATGGAGAAAAAGGATTACCCCACGTAGTGAGATAAAGGCTTGATGTTGTTGTTGTTGTTAGATTTAAGTAAATCAAATACAAAGCAATTACATTGGGTATTCAGAATATCCCAGAATATCTATTTTTAACATGTTTGGAATTTACTCAAATTGGGAGAATTTCAATTCCAGGGAAAATCACGGACTGGATCAGTTTAACAAAATTTGTTAAACTCAATCTCGTAATGAAATGGAGAAGAGCACAAAAGAGATGATCACAGCATATTAAAAAATGCAGCATAAACAAATGAGCAAAAGACTTGGACGCATGAACTTGCAGAGGACCTGAAACATGCGCTTGGTTGCAGCAGAATACAAAAGATCCTAGCTACCAAAAATCACAAGAGGAGACCACTGAATAGAAGCGGCATAAGCCATTGAATAGTGAGTTGGAATTGGTTAATAGGAACTTTGAAAGGAACAGATTATGAAAAAAAATTTGAAGCAGGAAAAGAGTAGCATCTCTGCATCACATTGCATATACTATATAGCTTCTAGAAATAATAGGAGTTTGGCATTTTACCATAGTCTACTTCATAAAATTAGATTCTCCGTATGAAACATTGTAGACAATATTCAGGTGATATTTTAGTGGATGCTAAAAAACTACACAATACTCCTTGAAGATTTCTTTAATATCATCACCACTCTCATAGCATGTAATTGTGTACCCGCAGACTGAACCTTTAATTAAATTCATTCATAAAAGTCCATTGAGATAAAACATTTAGCTGCTCACCTTTAAGTTGAACCATCAACAGATGGCTAACATGGAACTAGATATAGCACACGATTTTAGTATAGAGAAAAACAATGCTGATACGAGATTCCCAATTGTTCCAAAAAAGATTAAAAAACATGTAAAAAAACTTTAACTGAAAAATCACAACTAACATGGCAGATATAATATGGAAAATATAGCATCTAAGTCATAACAGCACAGACAAACCTGTTATTTGAAATAGAATTTATGTGATAATCATGAGCATGAGCATATACTCTTCGACACCTTGCAACAAGGCTCATTTCTTGGCCGGTAACCTGCAGAAATACGGATTAAGCTCACATTCCTAGCAAAGATAACGCAAGCTGGGGAAATGTTTCACAATAAATGCAAATAAAAGAAATAAAATGGTGTGAGGGTTCATGCTGACAACATGCATTAGGTTTTTGGCTGCATAAATCTTAAGTTATTAATAATACTCCACAGCACATTTAATTAGTTATTTTGTTCTTAAGTTCCCACAATGAGGCATGGCAGTGATACATGGATGTCCTGGAAATATATCAGTGATCTGGTGTTGTCAAAAAATAGCTTTTGATTTGGAGTGGTTTGATGAGAGACCACAAGTTTTATTTTCGCCGCAAAACATCTACGCATGATGAAGTGCAAAGATGCGCACCGCCAAAAAGTATTTCAATACAATAAAACGCATAAATCGTTGCACTTTGCATACTCTGTGCTTCAGTGTACGGAGCATATTTGATGCTCACAACTCATAAGCACAAGTTGGTTGTGGAGTAATTTTATTAATATCGGCACAACAAATCAAGATACAAGTTGATCTACTATTCGAGAGATAGATAACTCTCCACAAATCCTAAGCGCCGCTAGAAACAACACCAAAGAAAATTACTGCAAAACACAAAATCACCTAATGAAAATAAAAGAACCTAATTAGTCTTAAATAAACATTCCTAATTCTCTCCCAAATTTGAATTCAAATCAACCTCTTTCCCTAAATAAACCTTCATACGTAAGAACCGGAATTTCAGGTACAGTTTAATAATAAAGTATTATAAAAATTAATGTGTTAGTTTAAATAATTATTTGATTAATTTAACTAAAAATCTGAATGGATGTGTGTAATGGAAGCTTTTGGAAAATGTATTATGATAAGAGGGCGGTTAGAGACTTTTTGGGGCCCACATTTGGATAAATCATATTCTTCTTCTCCTATTCTTGTGTTTGCTGGGCAAGGAGGCGGAGAGCAGAAAGAGTACGCTAGGGGCATTGCTGGAGATCAGAGAAAACTGCATGCAACAGAGAAATAGTAGTGGACTTGGGCGGCTAGTACAGGAAATGAAATTGAACCGTTGCCAAGGAGGGTGTGCGGCTGGAAGGAGTTGGCTAGGGCAGATTTCCTTCAGCATTACAAGAGCAAATAAGGAGGCATTCAGCACAATATTAAAGTGAAGGTTCGGTTGCTGGAAGAAAGGAATTCAACATTATTACTTGGAAGAGATATTGGTAGAAACAGATTCAGATTCTTTGGTTATAGGGAAGTGCTTATGGGAAGATACATTTAGGGAACAATAGGGTTATGAAGAGTTTGGAAGAAGGATCTAAAAGAAGAATAGATCTAGTTAGAGAAAAGGAATTTTGGAAAGGACTTATAATGCAGAGAGGAGAATCTGAAATTGTTTATCAAAGGAGAAAGTTGCGGGGTGTAGGTTTGGAGGAAACTTTTCGTCAAAAATGTAAGTAATGCCAAATTAATGTTTAAAGAAAGTTATGTGTTATGATGAATTTATTTTCTTTAAAATGTTTTTTCTAAGCTTTTGAATATGATCTACTACTTATACCTTTTACTATCATATAAGTTTACATAAGGTTTGGTTACATCATTCAAATGGTTATATGTAAGAATGCTTGGAAGAATGTAAAGTTCTTTGAAAATTTATGCATATTACTTATACACAAGATATGTCATGAATGATAACGAAGACTGATATGATATGAATTATGAAAGAATGTTGAATATTAAATTAATGTAAAGTTTGGCAATGAATAATGTATGTCTTATTATTGTAGTTGGGATAAAAGGATTCCCATATCAGAACTACATGATAAGTGGGGCAAAAGGGACCCCAAAGAATTATGAAACATGCATAGCAGATGGGGGAAAAAGGACCCCAAAAGAGGCATAAGGGACCTCTATGAAATTCAATGGCGATAATGCCAGGTTTACCTGGGCTCCATTGAATAATATTATGAAAATATAGCCAAATCTTTCACATAAAATTTATATTCAACAAAGATTCCAAAGATAGCAAAGCATACTATTGATCATGACTTGTAATGTTTCAATAATAATTTCAATGTTGTAATTATTCATGTTATACTATTTTAATTGCTAATTAATTCAGCATTACTTGATGGCTTCCATTTCTCATTCAAATTCTGTTATAAGTGAACGCCTCTTAGACTCGAATCTCTCGTCACATGATTGCAGTTGTTCTTGAATCTTTAAAAGCTCAAACTGTAGAGGACCTGAATAATCTTCATGATGAGGCATCTATTTTGTTGTTAGAAGATTGTCCACTGGATTACTTGGCTGTTTTTGATTTTCCATATTTAAACACTTAAAACAAAGACTCAAAAAGAGAAACCTAAGCAGACACAAACCTAGGCTCTGATGCCAAATTGATGCAAGCAAAAAATTAGGAAATCCCCTAATTTTTTTGCAAGCAAAATATTAAACTTCCTAGGATAATAAAAGAGACACAAATATACCCAAAAGGATACAAAATACAACAAATAAACCTAAACAACTTCACTTTTATAAAATAAAAGAGGACTTACAAACTTTGACGCTTACAAATGACTCAAACAAATTTATATAATAAAAAACCTAAACTTGCATTTTTCCATCGCTTTGAGAAGAAGGATATAAGTGGAAGGGAATTTGCGGATAGAAGAAGTAGATTAGAAGCCGAGACGAAGATAGGAGGATAAGCTCGTAAGCATTCCCAAGAAGAAGAGGAAGAAAATGAACAAGCTCTCAAGCTCTTCCAAGAAAAACCCTCCGATTTTGCTGTCCAAAAATCACAGTATAACAACCCCTTTTTTCACAAAAACACTACATTTTTATAGGAGAGAAAGGGGAGACAAACAGCCACATATTCCTTAATTAAACCAATTAATTAAGGGGAAGAGGAATGCCAAAAGACACCACAAACAGCCCCCAAAATCTGTACAGAAAACAGGCCAAAAGACACCACAAAACAGCCCACAGCCCACAAATTCTGCACAGAAAACAGGAATTTAAGGGGAAGAAGAAGGGCCAAAAGACACCACAAAAGCCCACATAATCAGCACAGAAAATAGGGAGAAAAAGCCACGGGAAACCCAGCCAACAAGCCACGGGAAAGCAACCAGAGAGGGACCCGAGGAGCCAACACAGGAAACAGGGCAAGGAATTCACGGGAAACAACCAGGGAGAAATCCCAAGAGCCAGCCAGCTTTTATTCTCAAATAAGAAACCAAAGATACACAAGAAGGGGGAGAGACTGCTTTTAAAAAAATTGTATTTATTTAGATTTGAATAAAATGCTTACACGCAGACTTCAAAAATGTGTTTGACACTGACCAATAAAGTATTTTAAACGATCAATAATTCACTGAGAATTGATTGATTTTTTACTCGAATTTAACTTTGATTAAAGCTAATGAGCATACCTAAATTGAATCAAGCTAAACTTTAGCTAGAATTGGCTCAGCTTGAGATCTAATTTGATCAGTTCAACATCAAATCAAGGTGTATGATTTGCTTGCATTTCACGCTTCAAACCTACAAACCATATTTGTCATTCAGGAAAAATGAGTGAAATGAATTTACCCTCATATCAATGATATGCAAGTACATGCATGCTTATTTAGCCAACTATTCATACAATGATAACACACCCAAGCAAATCGAACATTCTCATGCTCACGTGTTACACAAACCTATTATTATACCTGTTTGCTTACTTAGAATACCACAAATAAAATTTGAAATTTATAAATATCTTTTTTAAAAATTGTAAATAGAAGTGTAGTTAATGTGTGTAATAATGTCGCCAGGTTTTTTCTCTTTTATTGAAAATTGAATACAGAAGATGCCATGTGTTAACATCTAGTCTAAAACCTTTCAACTTTATGTAAATATCTAAGAGAATAGGAATACATGAGTTGTAGGTAATGTGATGAAGCGGAGGAGTGCAAAAAGTGTAGGGAGGTGCGCATAAGAGATAGAGAGGCAAAGTGGCTTTACTAGAGAAGACTTGGGTTTCTTTTGCATTCACGCAAGGCAGTAGATTACACTTGGAGCTCTTGGCACTAGTGTTAGACTCCTACTCAATGCTCTTTTAATGATAGATGAGTTGAAGACTTGAAGTTGATGGCGGCAAAATATGCCTTTTACATTGATACTTAAGGTATTTAAAGAGGCTACTAGAACTTCAGGACATGAAGATGATGTTAAATTTTGAAGATTTGGATGTTTCTCCTCCCAAAAAGACATTGCTCATTCCACCATATTGTCAATAACAAATTGGTAAGAGCCCAACAATACTGCCATTTCATTGGCAACGTGGTACTAGTTATTTGGCTGAAAGGGTAGAATAATTGCTGACTGTTTGATTGTGGAAGGAATAGCTGTCAAGCTTTGTCTCTATAAAGGTGCAACAGAAGAGGCTGCACGCCAATCATTGGACAGTTGTCAATGATCTTGTATTTCCTAGCTCACGAACTGAAAGAATTATTGGAGGGATGCCATCACATAGTTCACTAGCTTTAAAAAGGCTATCAAAAGCTAGTTGAGTACAATCCAAATGTGGTCATCACAAGATAGCTGAGTGTAATCTGCTAGAAGGAAGTTAGGAGCACGCTCCTAGCCCCACATTCTCAAGCACCAACTGTGGAAGAGAATTGATCTCTGCACCCCCATCAATTTATCACTAAGGGGTGTCAAGCTAAAACTTATAAGGTTGACTAATGAGGCAGAGGCCTTTTGTAACTGTTCTGTTTGATGTACTCTACGGTTAACATGCGAACTCGGCTGAACAGATCTTGAATTAGAGGGGATAAATCTAGGCCCGCGATGTTTATAACTCATGGTTTTAAAAAGCATTTGAGGCATACGCCTTGAGACGCGCATCAATTCGAGGACGGCTTGGACGCCTCAAGGCTTAAGCCTCGTCGATTCAGACGAGGGTTTAGATTTTCTTTCTTGATGTAATCCCCGAAATGCTCAAAATAAATGTAAGCATACACT